ATCATGCAGACCATTCACTCAAATGTTTTGGGAAACCTTTTGCCTTGTTTGATTCATTACAGTGTGCTTCATAAGGTAGCGAGACTGTCTCAAATAGCCCCACCGACTTTCGTCTTTCGGTATATCTGTTTTCACGTCACCGGGGCTATATACAAAAACTTTCTTTCAAAATTTTACTGTCGATGACTTTAAAATAGTCCTTGATGATCATCCTGTCAGTTTGAAAGCTATGGGTCACATCATATTATGATAGCCTTAGCATATAGTGATGCAATTTTATACCTACCCTACTGAAATGAAGTGTCCTACGAAAAAGGAAAAGATTGAATATAAAGGTCATATAACAGTCTTTGAAAAAAACAATTTTTGCCAAAATGATCAAAATCCAATTTCCAAATGCATGGCGTTTAAAAAATTATCTCTAGCGTGACCAATTTTCTTTAATTTCCTTGCAACTAAAACTGTCTCAAATAGCCCACCCTATGGGGCTATTTGAGACAGGCTTTAACATAAAAAATAACCTTAATCATTATTACTAGCTGAACCAAAATACACCTATATGAAAGAGCTCACAGAGAACTACATTTTTGCAATTTACATGCTATAAGAAATATGAACCGTCTTAAAGGGAGAGGCCAAAAACTGTAAAATCCGTTTCAAATAGCCCAACTTTACGGTATTACAAGTAGACTTAGGCTCTCAGGTCAGGTAAAAGGGTCAATATTGTAAAGCCGTATTTAGATCAAGAGGACGCATCAAGAGTAAGCTGACCATGCCTCCTAAAAAGAGGCAGCGAGCATTACCTCAGTCGGGGAAATCAATATTGGACATAGGTACCTACATACCAATCAAAACCTTGAGAATTTATCACAGATATTGTAAAATCCCATGATTGAACAAAATAAGGCAATTAGGAAAACATCACATCAAATAGTTAACAACCTAACCGCAAGAGTCCAGACTTTTAGCCGAAAAACGGTTTCAGGCAAGAGCAGGTATGCTAGTATGCGATTTAACGTTCACATTTCACCACACAAGGATACTGAGGAGCATTGCCGCATTGTCAATAATCTAGGCATACAAACATTAACTTCAGCAGGCCCATGCAGGCAGAGTATTAAAAAATGAGAAAAGATCGACGAGATTTACTTTGTGGGACGCTGAGGGCTTCCTTAGCAATATTATCAAAAAAATGTTCACTGTTTAAGTCCTATCTTCAAACTGTAGCCTGTAATCTCAATTAACAGTCAACTAGGCAATAATGTTGTGCACCAAAGACTTATTAAAAATGTTCCCTAGCTGCTGCAAGTAATATTAGATATCTATAATAAGGTAACTTATCATATCTCCAATAAAACAACCCACCCAGTGTAACGTGCACCTATACTCACAAATAATATCAACGGAATTTATCACTGTTTTTCAAAACTTTTTGTTTGAAACATCTGCGCCAGAGCCGTCAATTCTGTCAAAATGTCCTCTAAAACACAGCAATGATTTGACGCTCCCCACTAATTCACTGCAAACACTAAAAGGCATTTCTTTTCTCAAAAAGCATTCAAAAGCCGATGTTAGTGAACAAAAATGAAAAACTGACTGCTGTTCTTTGATTTTAAATGGCTTTTAATGAAGAAAAACATCAATTTATGATACTACGAGCCAGGATCGAAGTGCACCTTCGGTGACGTCATTTGTCCCTGCCGCCCGCTGAGAACCGTGCACGCAGGGCCCAATGGGGATGACTACGGCCAGTTGCCGCGACCCTCACTTGTTCAAGACTATATCCGCGAGCAGCATTTACAAGCTAGCGGAAATCGACCAATCGGCGCTCGGCAATACTCAACGCTGATTGGCCCGGTGCTCGTGACGAAATTGCGGGGGACTGCAGCTATAACCCTATGGCGTTTAATAGAATTATGACTTTTGGAAGGGATTTGTATCAGTTTTTTTTGGGTTTGAGGCCATTTTTGAGCTTGGATATTCTTTCCGTGACCTTTGACTATATAATAACGACATTTAATCATGACATTTTTATATACTACTGGTGTCACATCGGCCAAAAAGACCGTAAGTACATGGGATAGACGGACCACTGCTGATGGGGCCACACTAGGGTTGTTAAAAAAAACCGAATTTTGGAAAAGTATATAGGCTCATGGCTCATGTGGTGCGGTATTCTTTTCTGAGACCAATGATGCCCTTTTTTCTGAAAAGCATTAACTGTTAGGGGCTCCTCAAACGGCTTAAATAGGACCATGTTACGCCCGCCGACCGGCCTGTGTCAATAAGGGCGAGAACTCGACGCCGCGCGCCGGCGGCAGCGCCTTATCGGCACCGCGCGCCACGACATCTGCCGGGCGGCCGGCTGGGCGGTGGGAAGTTATAAGTGCGTGGTCTTATTGCACACGATCGGGGTGAGCTATCCCATGTTTTCGGGGCGGAAAGTTTCAGTGCAGCATCGGTGCGTCTGCCACGGTGGTCTGTGTCGATGGTATAGAAAATAACTCAAGCAGAGCTCAGAAAATACTGAATGATTCCGGATAGTTGCCTCGAAACAATCCGTTTTAAGAATACAGCTGCCTTCTTAACGTACCGTATCACTTGTTAATTCTTCAAAAAGCAAACTCTGAGCAATAACACACCTCTTTGCATGGCTGTTGACAATTTACGTTAGTTTTTGACGGTGGTTCGCACCCCCAATATGCTGCCGCGCAACTTTATTCCAACGGCGAAACGGCAACTTCGCGAGAATCGAAAATTCACGATATACGTACAGCAGGGGCTGGCAATGCAGTATGCACAAGGACAGAATATGGAGGATACCCGACAGTCATCGGCCCAAGTTTGGGGGTGGCTTTGACGAGCATAGGCGTCACCAATGTCATTATTCAGATACGTTGATGTCAGATGCTGGGGCAACAGAATCGACGCCAGGTTTAACTTAGATTAGCGGGTCGAAAGAAAACATAACATGTCTGGGAGTGACAGGGTGGCCACCCTGACAGTGTGACGAAGTGAGACATGAGTAGAGACATTAGCCGGAGTACCTACTCATATAAATCAAGCGCCGTTTATCCAATCCTTCGAGCATAAGCGACGCCGGCAGTCCGGCCAGGGCGGCCGTGCCCACCGATGCCGATCAAGACCCGAATCCAGACCCGGCATAGAACACAGCTCTGCCCTGACGTGACACATTACCCCGGTGTGTCACTCATGACGGATAGACCAATGCAGGAGCCTTGCCAGCTCCTGTTGTACCTACTTCGCTAAATTTTCGATTCTCGCTAAGTTGCCGTTTCGTCGTTGGAATAGAGTTGGCAGCATATTGGGGCTGCGAGCCACCGTCCAAAAGCAACTTAAATTGTTAACAGCAATGCAAAGAAGTCTGTTATTGCTCAGAGCTTGCTTTTTGAAGAATTAACAAGTGATACAGTACGTTAAGAAGGCAGCTGTATTCTTGAAGCGGATTGTTTCGAGGCAACTACCCGGAATCATTCAGTATTTTCTGAGGTCTGCTTGAGTTGTTTTCTATACCATCGACACAAACCACCGTGGCAGACGCACCGATGCTGCACTGAAACTTTCCGCCCCGAAAACATGGGATAGCTCACCCCGATCGTGTGCAGCCAATAAGACCACGCACTTATAACTTCCCACCGCCCAGCCGGCCGCCCGGCAGATGTCGTGGCGCGCGGTGCCGATAAGGCGCTGTCGCCGCCGTGCGGCGTCGAATTCTCGCCCTTATTGACACCGGCCGGTCGGCGGGCGTAACATGGTCCTCTTTAAGCCGTTTGAGCAGCGCCTAGCAGTAATACTTATCGGAAAAAAGGGTATCATTGGACTCAGAAAAGAATACCGCACCACATGAGCCATGAGCCCATATACTTTTCCAAAATTCGTTTTTTTTTAACAACCCTAGGCCACACATACCGGCGTGTGGTCATCGGAGGCCCATGAGGGCTCGACATGGGCCATTTATGGGTCGGTATAGGCCCAGCGGGTCCAGTGCAGGCCTACCAGGGGCCGGTGGCATATCATGTCTAGGCTGTCTAGGGACGTTGAGGGTTCGTATGGGGGCCATTATAGGACCATTAGGGACCACATAAGCCAATCAGGGGTCCATTTAGGCCAATAAAGGCGCTTCAGGGACTTGAAGAGGCCATTCAAGAGCCGGAGATGTTGTACGGGTTTCTCAGTGGCCCATTTGGGCATATCAGTGACCAATTTAGACCCAGCGGGGGGCTTTGTAGACCTATCAGGGACTGGTGATGGTTTATCAGGGGCCAGTGTTAGTCCATCGGGGCACGGCATATGCCCATCAGAGGTAATTGCGGACCCACGCTGAACAATGCTGGCCCTTCAACGGCCCCTAATGGATCTAGATTGACCCATGTTCCATGCATGATGTGTCATGTATGCCCCTATGGCAGGCCTACTCCGACCCCTGATGGAGTCTCCCGGCCTCTGATGACCCTATACTGAATCCTGGTGGGGCTCTAAGAGTCTCCAATAACCCTTCGTCAACCCATCATTACCATACGCTGGCACTAGGGGCCCCACATCAGCCGTAGGGCAGTCCGTGCCATGACAACAGCATGTCTTTTGGGCCGATATTACATCGGTAATATTAATTAAAATCATGATTTTAGGGTGCCATTATATAGCTAACAGTCATAAGAAATATATTTCAACTCGAAAACAGCTCGAAACAGCATATAATCTAAAAGAAACCCCTCCGAAATCCAAAAGCCTATTCGGGTCCATAGAGAATAACTGCGGTCCCCCGCAATTTCGTCACGAGCGTCGGGCCAATCAGCGTCGAGCACTGCCGAGCGCTGATTGGTGGATTTTCCGCTAGCGCGTGAGTGCTGCTCGCGGAACAAGAGTTCGTCGACAATCCTCCACAAACGTCTGTCACCACTTTTCGTAATGCTAAACAGCCGGAGCGTACCCCCCTGCTACGGCCTGACTCGTATGAAGTTCGGTGTCGTGGGGCGGGCTTGGAATTGTTATTTTGTCATTGAAGATATGGATGGTTGAGGTAGTTTTATCATGAGAGCATTCAATTTATATAATGTAACTATTGAATAGCTTCGTATGTGTCGATATTCCGTATTCTTGATAGTAAAGAAAACTTGAAGCACGCCGAAAATGTGAAGTCATGTGTAATCAGTTGGGCAAACTAGACTTTTGGAATCAAAATATGGAGGCATCAATAATTTGATTCTGGTGGGAGGAGCCATGACCAAATATGGGCATGGAATCAATTTTTTGATTCATTTGGGTACACTTTTGACTTCAAATGAATCGTAACGGTTGAAAAAAGGCCCATGACGGTGAGATTTTTCTTTTAAAAGGTAGAAATATGTGGTAGGTTTGCAAAAAGTGTTACCTCAAAGCTAAGAAATTGTCCCTTTGGTCTTGTGAATGGGAAAAAGACAGAGCCATTGTCCATCACGTAAAAGCTGTTTTGAGGAAATCACACTGTATGTTATTTTTGTATCATGAATCACATACTAACCAATCAGTATTTGTGTAAAATGGCAAAATGAAATTTTTAAACCCCTAATTATCATTGTTGTAGTGCTTTTATATTATTTATATGGTTTTTACCTGTTGCTTCAGTTTTTGTATTCTTGACATTTAAAAATTGTGAATTGTTATCAAATGTAGTGAAGGTAAAGTACAACAATGCTATAGGTATCAGTTGTGGTGCTGAGGATACCACTAAATGAGAATAATAGCAAGATAAATGCTGTATTCTTGCAAGTCATTGTTGCCTATCTGTTAACATTACCTGTGAATCAAAATAATGATTAGCCAGCTGATGGGGAATCAATATTATGATTATCTGTTTAAAGCGAATCAATTCCTTGATTGCCTTTCACTACCTATAGAATTCAAATTGTTATGATAGGAGCAATATTATTTTGCTTAGGAGATAGTTCAAGCATTTCTGTTCAAGATCAGGCATGCTCCTTCTTGAAACACTCTCTTATTTTTATGTGATTGGTAAGTTAGAAATGGTCTGCATTTATGCCCAAAGGAATCAATCTTTTGATGCCTCCATATTTTGATTCCAAAGGTCTAGTTTGCCCAACTGTAATGCTTTACCGGCTTTACCACTGCTTCCTGAAGTATCAATCAATATTTTTTTAATGGCTGATCACCAGCTATTTTAGTTTGGGTACCACAATTGATTTGCAAATTTTGGTCCTTTTCGATGATGCTGATAATATGTGGTAGTGTTCTGTGCAATTTTGCATGTTTCCTTTTGCAAGCGCCAAGCCAATAAATTAATTTTATAAGTCCTCTGGTAGCTTCATTTGTAACAGAACTTGTGTTTTCTGTACTTAAATTACCATCTTTACACCGTATTTATATAAATAGCTACAACTTTGTTGAGTTCAGTATAGATTTATTACTTTTCTATGTTTTTTTGGTATTCTCCTAGTGTATTTGGTTGGTATCTGTTTGGTATCAGTTTCCAAAAATGTCTTAAATTGATATCACATATGTATATATTTTATATAACATCTTGATTGAATCACGTTGACTTAAATCATGAGTTGAGTCATTCCCTGAATCACTGATAATGGGATGAGTCGTGATTGAGTTGAATCACAAGGTCCATGAGTCGTGATTGAATCGCTTGGAAAATCAGACTGTTTGATTGAGTTATGATTGAATCGGTCATTTCATCAAGTGAGTCGTGATTGAATTGATTGAATTTTTTGAATCGTTTACAAGTCGTGTACAAGGGAGAGTGGCTTCTCCCCAGCCCTGCCACTGGACATCTCGCACAAGTTCCTCGAGGCCCTGGACGACTGTTTCCTCAGACAGCAGGTCTCCCAACCTACCCGTTTCCGTCCTGGTGAGACCCCCCACATATTGGACCTGATTATAGCAAATGAGGACGGTATGGTTCGAAACCTCAAACACGAAGCCGGCCTGGGGAAAAGCGATTACGTCATACTGCGGTTCGACCTGTTCTGCTACACTTGCCAACAAGTCCCTGCAGCAGATCATCCAAACTACTTCAAGGGGAACCCACAGAAGTTCATCGAGATGGTTCAGGACGCCGATTGGGACTCAATAGAGCCTCTGGCAATCGAAGAAAAATACCAGTTCATCATGGATTGTGTACGTTCAAGCGCTCTAGAGTGTTTCCCAAGGAGCAAGAGAAAAAACAGCCGTAAAAACATCTATATAAATGGCAAAGCTCTGCGACTTAAGAAGGAAAAAGAGAGGCTATGGGCGATCTACTCCGAGACCCAAACCACTCGACTTCACCCGATATTCCCGTTGCAGAAACCAACTGCGGGCCCTGACAAGGAAATTGAGGAGAGACCTCGAGGAGAACCTGGTCAAGAACCTAAAAACCAATCCAAAGGTCTTTTGGAGATACTCTAATTCAAGGCTGAGGACTAAGGCGGGACTTGACAACCTCATAGATGCCTCTGGCTCCATTGTGCGCGACGACAGCGGTAAGGCGCAACTCCTAAACGCCTTCTTTAGTAGCGTCTTCACTGTTTGGGTGCTTGCTTGCTTGGCTTACGAACCCCAGGGTGCAGACGCCACCAGTACCAGCCGAGAACTGTATTCAGCGAGCGGGGCGGCGGTGGCCCGGGCGGCCACAGCCCAGACTGCATACGATACCGGCGCCGGCTCAGCGGCGGCTCTAGGCTATAGAGCGGGGTGTGACCACAGCAGCCACCACGATACATCTCCCCCTCTTACGCGTATGCTAATAAGATCTACTACAGAATGCTAAGCTGTACTCCAAGCACAAAGCTGGTTTTCTTAAACCCCGAAAATCCGACCGCTGCGGGTTTTACGAGGGCTAACGTGTACAGGGTCATCAGCTGGCTGCACTGATGGTGGAGCGGGTGCCAGCGGAGACGTCGCCGGCTCAGGCGACGGCGCAGCTGGCGGAAGCTGCTGTGGTGGTGGTGGCGTCACCACCGGGCGTGGTACTGCCACGGATGTCGGCGGCACCACCGGAGGTGGCACTGGTGCTGCCCGTTGCCCGGTTCCGTGCTGTGCCGGGACCTGTAACGGAACAGGAGGGATCAGCAGCAGGTGCCGTCGGTTGCGGCGATATTGGCAGCCGCCCAGCTCCACCAGATAGCTGCGTCTGGAGAGCCTTTGCGTGACGATGGCGGGCTCCGACCAGCTGCCCTTTTCTGTCTTGATCCGGACTCTGGCGCCGGGCTGCAGCGGAGGCAGGTTGCGGGCGCCTCGCCTCTGATTGACGGTTGACTCCTGCTTCTTCTTTCTCCGCCCATCGCGGAGTTTGGCGTGCCGCCATGCCTTCTTGGCGGGCTGCTGAGCGACGGGGAGACGAGACTGAAGCTCACGCCCCATCAGAAGCCGGGCTGGGGAGTATCCAGTGGCTTCCACAGCCGTTGTTCGGTAGTTCAGGAGAGCGAGGTGAGGATCTTTTTGGCGAAGTATCCACTTTGCGGTCCTCACGGCCCGTTCAGCTGCTCCGTTGGATGATGGCGTGTGCGGGTCAGTGACGCGATGTGTGAAGCCGTACGACGCTGCGAAGTCGGCGAATGAGCTGGAAGTGAACTGCGTTCCTCCGTCTGTTGTCATCAGATCCGGTATCCCCAGTCTGGAGAACAGGCGCTTCAGCCGCTCGATGACTGCGGTGCTTGTGAGGCTGGGCAAGCGTTGAATTTCCAGATACCTGCTGAAGAGGTCCACAGTCACGAGCCAGTTGCTGTTGTTGAAGTGGAAAATATCTGCTGCGATGTGAGTCCACGGTCTTGACGGCGTTGGAGTCGTTACCAGTGGCTCAGCGTGCTGGGAGGGCGCGTGCACTTGGCAGAACGCGCAGTGCTCGATGTGGCGCTTCAAGTCGATGCTGATCTTGGGCCACCAGACGGATTCTGCTGCTCGCTGGCGGCACTTGTTGAGCCCGAAGTGACCGTCGTCATGTAGACGGTTGAGCATCTCTTCACGCAGACTAGGCGGTATGATGATGCGGCGGCCGTACATCAGCAGTGTGCCACTTGTCAGGTAGAGAACGCTGATTTCTCCACGCGCGGCGAAGTAGTCCAGCATGTCGGAGTGCTTTGCTCCCTCCTTCCAGCCAGAGAGAGTCTGCTGAACCACGCGCTGGAGGAGTTCATCTGCCTGTTGTGCCCTGCTGATCTCCACTAGACGCTGCGGTGTGGCGGGCAGGTCATCTGATCGAAGACCCTCTTGCAGAAGTGGTGGACGTCTTCCTGTAGCACAGCGCCGATCGCATCGTGCTTCTGAAGTGGGTGACGCGAGAGGAAGTCAGGTACCAGGTGCTGCTTCTCTGGAATGAACACCGCTGTTGCGTTGTAACGCATCAGTCGCATGAGCATGCGCTGACACCTGATTGGCGCATCTACGAGATTTTTCGTGTTGATGAGCGGGATCAGTGGCTTGTGATCCAGTTGTAGGTCGAACGACGGCAGTCCAGACAGGAACATGTGCATCTTCTCGCATGTCCAAGTTGCAGCGAGTAGTTCCTTTTCAATCTGGGCCCACCTCGTCTCTGTGTCCGTCAGACTTCTGCTGCAGAATGCGACGGGCTTGAAGATGGAACCATGCTTCTGAAGGATGCATCCTCCGATTCCGTAGCTGCTTGCGTCTGCGCTGACCACTGTCTCACGGGCTGGGTCGTAGAACGCCAGGACTGGAGCGGACGTGACGGCTGCTTTCACATCATCCAGTGCTTGCTGCTGCTGAGGCGTCCAGTTCCACGCAGCGTCTTTTTTCAGCAAATCGTTGAGGGGCCTTAGGCGCTCCTGGATGTGCGGGACGAACCTGCAGAGGTAGTTGACCATCCCTAGCAGAGACCGGAGCTCTGTGACGTTCTTTGGCTGCTGGAGTTGCTGTATCGCTTCGAGCTTCTCGTCGTCCACGCCGATGCCATTCTTGCTTATCTTCATGCCAAGAAACTTGACCTCGTCCCTTCGGAACTCACACTTCGTCTTGTTCAGCTTGAGGCCAGATTCGTGGATTCTTCTGATGACGGCTTCGAGACGTGCGTCATGGTTG